GTCTGTGTCCTCTCCCCTACTCCAGTCGACTACGGTGACAACCTCCCCTCACACACCGGTGCTGCCAACCGTAGCGATCAGGTCGCGACAGGTGTCGCCACACGCGCCGCGCGAGTGTGTCTCCCTACACACGCCACTACCACACCCGCTACTGCTCCGGCTGATGGAGATTGTGGTGATAGAAGTACTAGTAACACCATCCCTCATTGTGTACCAACCAGTCCTACTGCCGATCAGAGGGGTGGTAACGCTTTATATTTTATGAACACCGTTGAAGAGGTGCTGTCCCCCAGCCTTTTAACTGGGGGGTGTAGAGTAAGTAGTGACCCTACTACTAGTAGTACTACTAGGGATAATAGGAGTGAAGAAGAAGTAGTAAGAATGAGTGAGGATATTTCACAGAGTGGTGAGTATCCAGATCTCTTGACTATGAGTGGAGGTCTTGATGATGCGGTGTTTGCCGCTATTTCTCTCTCAGAGGACAACCCCGCTACTCAAACCGAAAATGATTTGAATGTAGAAGCCTTACTGGGTGAGCATATAATGCTTACAGACAGTCAGCAACGTGGATTGCTGACTGACGTTGATGTGAATCTTTTCCTCAACCCCCAACTTAGTTCACTCCAAGGTGTATCTACAAACCTTGACCCTGAACCCAGCTCTCGCCCCTCCTCCTCCACATCCCACAACTCTAAACTAAGTTCACACAAAGCCACATCTCGGGCTAGAGGTCGTGATGAGTGTAACACAATGTCTCAGACGGTGTTAATAAGCAGTGATGACGAAAACTTTACCCCTCTACGAAGGATACGAGTTGGTGACGATCTTAATAGATCCCGCTATATTGACACCACCTGTGATAGTGACAGCGAGTGTGATAGCGAGGTTGAGCGTGAAATAATAGCACCTCCCCCACCCAAACGACAGATTAAACGAAACGATGATCGTCTAACTATAGAAAAACCCAGCAAAAATCTAAAATCTAAGCCTAAAGCTAAAAAAATCTTTTTGAAACTCCGCTGATAACTGCATTAAGCTGAGTGATATGTCTCTGTCTGTCTGTTAGTTATTATGTTTTGTTTTTTACCAAGATAAATATGTAAGTGTCTACCAGTTATTGAATAAAACGTAATAAGAGAAAGATTAACTTTTTTCACCTATTATGCTATCACCATATGTCTGTCTGTCTGTCTGTCTGACAGTTATTATGTTTTGTTTTACCAAGATAAATATGTAAGTGTCTACCAGTCATTGAATAAAACGTAATAAGAGAAAGATTAACTTTTTTTCACCTATTATGCTATCACCATATGTCTGTCTGTCTGTCTGTCTGACAGTTATTATGTTTTGTTTTACCAAGATAAATATGTAAGTGTCTACCAGTTATTTAATAAAACGTAATAAGAGAAAGATTAACTTTTTTTTCACCTATTATGCTAACACTAGTCTCTGTTTTTTTTTCTGTTGGATCGAACGATTACTAATGGTTGATGATGATGAGTGAAAACTTGCGCTATGGAAAGACTCAAGGTCGGTCCCTAACGAGATGCGATGAGGCGGAATGAGTAACCACGCTTACATTTTCAAATGTTATAAGAACTGAAAAGCAGACTTGTTATAAGAACTGAAAAACAGACTTAACCCAGAGCTCATCCGGACTGTTTACATTGGATAATGTAGGTCTTAAGAGAGAGAGAGAGAGAGTGTGTTGAACTCGGGATAATGAACAAGTCAATTTAATAATAGTAACAAGATTGTGTTTTTTCCATATTATCGTATATATGCTTACTTTGCTTGCAAGATTGTGTTTTCCATATTGTGTTTGGATGTAATGGCTAAACATGGTTTTACATTTCATTATTCAGACAAGATCATCCGGTCTGGGAAGGGAGCGGTGATGGTTCGGCCATGGAGGGGGTGGTAGGGGTATGGGTTTGTGGGGGTGGACTGGGAGAGGGTACGGCCGGCTCATTCATTCAGGTTTTAGTAAACGCTAACCTCCGGACTTTGACTGAGTTTACTAAGTGAAGTGACGTGTGGTGGACTTTAGAGAGGGAGAGATAGAGAGGCAGAGAGACAGAGAGAGAGACAGAGAGACCGAGAGAGAGAGAGAGAGAGAGAGAGAGAGAGCGAGAGAGAGACAGAGAGCCAGAGAGAGAGAGAGAGAGAGAGAGAGAGAGAGAGAGAGAGAGAGAGAGAGAGAGAGAGCGAGAGAGAGACAGAGAGGCAGAGAGACAGAGAGAGAGACAGAGAGAGAGAGACAGAGAGAGAGACAGAGAGACAGAGAGACAGACAGAGACAGAGAGACAGAGAGAGACAGAGAGAGAGACAGAGAGAGAGAGACAGAGAGAGAGACAGAGAGACAGAGAGACAGACAGAGACAGAGAGACAGAGAGAGACAGAGAGAGAGAGAGAGGCAGAGAGACAGAGAGAGAGACAGAGAGACAGAGAGACAGAGAGAGAGAGAGAGCGAGAGAGAGACAGAGAGTCAGAAAGAGAC